AGATAATAGACACAGGTGTCCATCCGCAGAAACACATCATCCACACAAACATGCACAATTCTAAAAGTTACCAACAATAATAATTTGGTGCATCTGTGTAACTCCGATAGTTTTTTTTTTTTTACAGTTTTATAGCCAAAGAAACAAAGGTTCTCTTCAAACGGTCTGACTTAACTTTATCTGGCTTTGGGATCAACCTCCTAGCACTGGTTAGCATTACTATCTCGCCCTTTACTTTAATCTTCTTGCACTTGTATTGAAACAGTTTTTGTTGATGGATTTCACCGTGACAATTGTTTCTTGTACTGTTTTACCTTGTTTTATCTATGTGCTTACACCCTGCACACTTTTGCACATGTATTCCAATGTGGTTTTACTGCAAATGGCAAATAAATCGCCCTAAACCAGTTCATATATTGAACAACTACTGTAAGCATCATTTAGCCCGAGTGAATGATGTGAAAGTCAGAGTTGTCCCTGTGATCCAGCCCCGCGCTGAGACCCTCCACACGTTACGCTGCAATGAAAGCGCGACGTGCTGTAAATGTAATGGTCTGGGGCTGATTGTTTCTGACACACAACAAAACACACAGACCCGCCCCACAAATTAGTCCCTCCGGAGGGGTGAGGGTTCAGGTCCCAGGGGACGAGGCAGAGACAGGACCAGCATGCCACACTGACAGGCCACGTTGAGCCCTGTTGAAGGGAATGGCGGCTCATACAAGTTCTAGTTGTTTTTGAGTAGAAAAGATCAGATAAAACTGTATCTAACAATGGAGAAATGTTCCGTTTGGCATCAATAAGATCATCAGGGTGTGCCAATAGACGGGAAATATGTGAAAGTAAAAAAAAAAAAAAGGTATTATCAGTATCTTTTGTACTTTATCTGTATTATTTTATTTTTATTTTTGTATTTTAATCTGTAGAACTTTGACTTTTCCTGGAAATATAAGGTGCAATATAAATAAATTTTATTTTTGATTATTATTATTATTATTATTTGATTATTATTTTTATTTGTATTGTTGTTATTATTATTATTACTTTTATTTTATCGTTTACTGATCATTTTTACTTGTTGCTCAAATAAATGAATAAACTAGTGGACGGGTTGAGACTGCTGTCGTATATGGCTGAGTTAAAGATGGCATGTGTTTGTTTGTTGTATTTTCACATGCTTTTTATGATTTGTAAAAACAGAAATAAAAGAAAAAGAAAAAAAAAGTGAGTTGGAGTTATCCTTAGCCTTCCCTTACCCTCACCTCCAATCTACTTGTTGTTATCCCTGAACCTATAACCATCTCGAAATAGTGACCTTGTCTGTTTGTTTTCAAAAGTAGTAATGGAGTGCATCTCTTAATCAAGATGGAAAACATTTTCAACTTAACAAAACCACACAAAAAAAATCTAAAACATTTGAACAAACAACATGTTTGTTCAAAACACTGCAGCTCGGGTCGATCCTTAACAACCAGGAACAATCGCATTAGTCCAGTCCTCAGGTCTCTGCACTGGTTTCCTACGGCTCAATCGACTTTTAAGACACATGTAATAGTGCCATATGAACCAACGGGGACTCTGAGGAGCACAGGGACTGGCCTCCTGCTGCAGCCCACAGTAGAGACTAAACATGGAAAGGCAGCATTTCAAATTTATGCAGAGAAAATCTATAATAATCTTCCTGAAAATGTGAGACAGGCTTCTATGATAGTTAGTTAGAAATGTGTATAGTTTGTAATTGATGTACTTATGTGTTTATTTGGATGTGTTTTCTGCTGTTGGACACCTGAATTTCTCCTACGGGGATCAATAAAGTATCTATCTATCTATCTTTCTATATCTATATCTATATCTGTATCTACGTCTATCTATCTATCTATCTACTCTGACAATGTTCAAATCCATTTTTAAAACAGTTCAGTTTAGCCGTGCACACAACTGAAGGATTGCATCTTCACTCTTTCAAATGTACTGAGATGATTTATTATTTCAATGCCTTGTGTGATTGTTTCTATATTTTTTTGCAAAGCACTTTGAGTTGCCTTGGGTGTGAACTGTGCTATACAAATAAACTTGCCTTGCCTTTGTTTAAAAAAAAAAAATCCAAAACCTCCCAGCTTCCCAGACCCCGCAAACTCGTGTACAGGCCGACGTGCCGGAGTCGCCTTAGTTCAGGAAAATCCGCTTCCCCCTGCCGTCTCCATGTTAACTCCTCGCTCCCCGCGGCTCTCTCTCTCTCCTCTCTCCTCGCTCCTTCCCAAGCCTCCTCCAGGTTCACCCTTTAGCATGACATCACCCCTAAACTTTTCCCCCCATCCCCATGAGAATCTGAGCTGTCACAATCACCAGCCCCCTCCTCTCACCCTTTAAACTGTACTGCAAGCCCATACGTTTCTTTTTGCCACACCAGTCTCCTCCCTTCTTACTTCTCTCCTTTTTTAACCCCCAGCAAGCCATTGTTTGAGTCAGGCCCTGATCAAAAAACTGTTGCCCGCCAACTACTGGGCTTTCTGTAAATTCAATAAGCCCACCTTAAAGATTTTCCTAATTAATGGATGACATCTTTGGCTGGAGGAGAGGCGAGGCATTGGGCTCTGGCTCGCGCTTTGTTGGCCTCCTAATTAACTTTCCCAGGTCACTCAGGTCCCAGCAACCTGAGAGTGAAGAGCCCCTATTGAGGAGGGAGTTGTAAACTTACTTCTTTTTTTTTTTTCGCCTCGGTACTTAAAAGGGGAAAGCAACTATAGGGAACAGAAAATATCCTATTTAAGTCCATTGTGTGTGAACTGCTTGCACATGTTCCAATAAAGGAAGTCTTCTAAATAAGCTGCCGTGTTGCTCTCACTCGCCCAGCCCTGCAAGCCACTCTCTTTCTCTCTCTCTCTCTCTCTCTCTCTTCTCTCGCTCTTTCACTCTCAGGTTATGAATGATAGCATTGGGTTGAGGAGGCTAAAGGCCAGCATCTGGGCTTTGTGGGATTGTGGGCATCTGAGGGAATGTGAGGATGGGAAAGGGCTGGTCGGGAAAAAGCCAATGAAAGAAAATAAGTTCCTCTATTATTGGAACTGTTTTGGTCTTTCCTTAAAGGTCCGTCTCCTCCAGCTGCTTTCATCACCCCTGGGCTCCATCGTTCAAAGGTGAAAGGAGAAAATGGTCTGGCTGAAACACTGGCCAATAAAAGTGTGTGGATGACATTATTGTGTGTACAAATTATAGGGTCAGTGATATTAGGCGTTTTAAAGTACGGGCCTCTTACAGCTCCTCCTGGTGTGCGTTTTTAGTTCCTGCCTTCATTTTGGGCAAATTGACACAGAGTAAGAACTAAAGCCGAGTTTTGCAAAAATAATCAGTTCTAGATCTACAACTTCTCTAGTGGGCCTGCCTCAGGTTCCTAAAAAAAGGTCTCACACTTTTATCATGTGCTTGTCAAGTTATCGTTTGTACGGTTGCCTAACTGTGTGTTTGCATGTCTCCTGCCTTAGGACAATGGATTCCAGCATATTTATGTTGACGCTGTTTGACGAGACATTGCTCTATATGTATTATCCTATAAGTTCAATACAAAATCAATAAAACATTTAAGGACTGGGGTCATCCCGCTCCCTGTGGATCAATGGCTCCAATGTGTTCATTATTATTGCATTTTCTGTGTTAGATTTGATTCTCTGATCTGTTGTGGT